CTCCCGAGTGCTGGGATTAAAGGCGTGTGCCACCATCGCCCGGCAAAAGTGATCATTCTGGGTGGTGGTGGTGACCCATGTTTTTAGGAAATGTAGTATAATTCAGCTCATTGATATGTTCTTTACGACAAATCCTAATCTCAATTTCATCTCAAAATATTGAAGATACTATACATACAACATCTCCTGGTGGTCCTCTGGGCCCCGTGGAACCTGCAGGTCCTTGCTGACCCTAAAATTGAAGACAATGGATGCTTTAACTCTGCATGAAAACAGATTGTATCTGAGTGTTGGTGAGATACCTTGTGCCCTTGACAGGGAAGAGACGGACTTTTCAGGCATCCCACCTTTGTGTCCAGTACTGACACATGCTCTGAGCTTAGCTAGACAGTTCTGAGATGCTTCATTTAATAGGTCTGCTCTTATCAGCAGGTGATAACTGGGTAATTGGACTCACGCACTGCTGGGAGCATTCTCTGAGAGTCTCTCTCCCCTCCCCCAATTGCTTTTTCTTAAGACACTCCTGCAGAATTTCCTCTGGGGAACACAAGCATCTCAGGGATGCATAATTTTAGTGTAGAAACAGAGCCTGAATCCTTCCTTTCCCTGTCAAGAACGTGGCACAAGGTCATAGATTTAACTGATATTGTTTACTCTGAAAGCTTTTGTGGATGCCATTGTGAATTGCCATTGCTCTTAAAAGGGATTTTGAAGTCCCATTGTATAGCAAAAAGCCTAGCTTCTGTGCATGTAACAAATGCAGCCAGTGGTGCTGGTGGGGAGGGAGGTCACCATGGAAACAAGATAAAATCTCTGAGAACATCTGTGAAGGAAAATGAGTGGCACTCCAATGTCTTTCTGCTTACAGGATGGCTGTAATCCCCACATTATTTCCCAATAGTGATTCCTTATACACCTTCATATGTGAAGTACATACCTTTAGTCCTGGGCTCCCTGTTAGACCAGGGGGACCAGCATCTCCAGGTTCCCCCTATATGCAAGAGTGGAAAGGAAAGTTAGATGTTACTATTTTCAGCATCTCATTAAGGCTGCAAAGGTGACTGAAGAAATGCAGGGGGATTACCTTCATTCCCTGTGGTCCTAAAAGGCCGGGCTCTCCCTGTAAATAAAAGAGTTGCCATATGGTTCATTGCTGAATCCAGATAGGGTCGGACATCTTGATACTTTAACTGACTTTCTATCAGTTAGCATACAACAAAGTGGACATTGTGGAAGCAATGTAGTCCAGCAATGCTCACTCTAAGACCAGATCCAGAACCCTTATTGTCAGGAAGTAACAAAACTCCTCATTTCATTTCTTTACTTGGGACAGCACATATGGTAGTTTGGATGTATTTGGCCCCCATAAGCTCATGGAGAGTGGCACTTTTAGGAAGTGTGACCTCGTTTGATGAGGCTGGATGACACAATCCAGACTTGAGGATGCAGGGCATACCTTTAATCTGAGCCACACCTTCTGTTGGAAGTGTGTCACTGCAGGGGTGGGTGGGCTTTGAGGGCTTTTTCTTAGGCTTCACTCAGTGTGACAATCAGTGGACTTCCTGTTGCCTCTGAGTCAAGATGTAGGACTCTCAGCTGCAGCATCACCTCTGCCTGAATGCTGCCTTGCTCTTTGCGATGATGGACTGGAACTCTTAACTTTAAGCGACCCCCCCGCCCCCGCAACTAAATGTTTTCTTCATAAGGATAGCTGTGGTCATGGTGTCTCCTCACAACAATAGAAATCTAACTGAGATGTCATGGCACCGTTAGCAATGAGCCATTCGCCACCAAATGATAGCCAACCTCAGAAGAGAGGCAGGGTAGAATAGGCTAAGTTCAAAGGGGTGTGTGCTGGTAATTCTACTTCCAGGTGCTTAATAAACACAGAAAAGATGATATGAAATAGTACAATATTTTCTTATTTTCCAGGCCTCACTTAAAAGTTCAACCTGTGTCTTTAACAAAAATTTTGAAAATCTGTTTTAGTTTTGTAGTTTAGATATTCTTCTACTTCTTTTCCTTCCTTTCCTTCTTTCCTTCTTTCCTTCCTTCCTTCCTTCCTTCCTTCCTTCCTTCCTTCCTTCCTTCCTTCCTTCCTTCCTTCTTTCCTTCCTCCCCCCTTCCTCCCTCCTTCCCTCCCTCTCTCCATTCTTTTCTTCCTTCCTTTCTTTTCCCCTGAGATAGGATTTCTGCCCTGGCTGTTCTCTGGAACTCCCTCTGTAGACCAGGCCAGCCTTGGTCATTAACTCACAGAGATCTGCCTGTCTCTGCCTCCAGAATGTTGGGATTAAAGGCATGTGCTACCACTACCTGCCAGTGTAGATATTCTTCTATGACATTGAGATATAACCACTAATAGCAGTAGGCTACAAAAAAAACAAAACAAAACAAAACAAAACAAAACCCTAAAAAGGGCTGGTGAGGTGACTAAGAGAGCAAAGGCAGTTGTCCCTGAGCCTGAAGACATGAATTCAGTCCTCAGGACCCACGTGATGGAAGGAGAGAGCAGATTCCTACAAGCTATCTTTTGACCCTCATCATATACGTACCAAGGCATGCATACAAAATGTGGCACACACATATCATCCCCCTAAAATAAATGTAAAATAAAAATACAAAAGAAAGCCTGCATAACCCAAATCAAATGTAAAAGTGTTACCTCAAGATAGCATTGACCAAGCATTAAAGACAATAGTAAAAAACAGCAGAAGAGAGTACGAGCTTCAGGAAAATTACTCTATCAAATCAATTAGAGCCGAACCACAAACGGGAGAGAGAATCAATGAAATAGAAAACCCAAGGCAGCACTAAACAGCTACTTACCCTATCTCCCTTTTCACCTCTGGTTAAAGGCTCCCCCTAGGAGAATGGGCAGAAACCAGAATCAATTATAAACACTTAGAAATCAACTCTGACAGGGGTAAGTGAGAATGACTTTACAGATTCCTCCACATTCCCAAACGAGCACCGAGTTAATCATTTTAATACCATTTAGGGGCTCCCAACAGCAGTCAAATTGAAATGCTGCCCTAGGCTAAACCTTCCTACTCTGAAATGAAGACGCACACGCAAGCATCCATCTTCAAGTGGAGGGAAATGGGTACGGGTAACTGTTGAAGGACAGGTACCCACTTGAATTTCCCACCCAGGCTAACTGTGTGTTCAAACACACGGGGAGCATGGTTTCAACGATGCTCTTTGACGTGTCCATGTGCTCTAACCAAAATGACTTGAAAGGGGTTAGTTACTGGGGAGACAATTGCACAGGTGTGTGGAACTGATTGGTGGCTACTGGGCTTAGGATGTAGGTCCCGTGGAGAGATAGATTTGAAGAATCACCCCACTCCTGACACTCTCTATGTTACCAACCTTCTTGTGGTTACACACACACACACACACACACACACACACACACACACACAGAGAGAGAGAGAGAGAGAGAGAGAGACACACACACCATAGTTAATCCTTAGCTATCAAGAAGAAGTTGCTATTATTATAGCCATATACAGTTGAAGAAACTGAGGCACAGATTGGCCACAATTCTTCAGGCTCACTTCCTCTCCAGTGGTGACTGAGAAGTTTGCGTGTGCCCAAGGATGAAGCCATAGGATTTGAATCAGCTTGGTGGCTGAGTGTGGGGGTAAGAAACAACCACCTCTGCTAAATGAGCCAAGATGCCCTCTAGTGCATGCTAGGGCTAACTTTTCTCAGGTTAAAGTCACATATTTGGTGCAACCACACAAACTGTGATCTACGTAACATGATGCCATCTTTTATTATGGGTTAATTTTTACATGTTAGATCAGGGTCTTGTTTATAGTCTTTCTTTACATATTTTCATCCTAAAATTATGTGTTCAACTACTAAGGCATTTGCGGTGGGCCACTTTGTTTCCACCTTTGCTTGCAACCTTGATATCTACATTGAATTCCCCACTCCCTGGGGCTTAATCCAGGCCAATGCCTTATAGAGCTGAATCCTAAATTTTCTCATCTTACTTTTTCATTTGGAAATTAGCTTCACTAAGTTGTCCAGTTAGCACTTGAACTCTGTATCCTAGGATAGCTTTCAACTTGTGGTTCTCCTACCTTACCCCCCTGGATAGCTGGGATAACAAGCCTGGGCCTCCAGGCCTGGTTCAAAGTCTACATTGATTGGTGTTGTTTGTAGGAATCTGGTTGACTGAGGTTTGCAATTTAGTCTCATCTCCTCTGAATACTAACTGGGAGTAGCCATTTGAAGTTTTTGAGCCCCTCTTTCCTTATCTATAAAATTGTGAATTCTAACGAGATCCTTCTGTATACGTGTTTTAGAGCTCTGATACATAGCACATCCCATCGTATGCCAAACACCTGAACATTGCTACTAGCTAGTCAGGCTTGCCAGATGGTTGAGTTCCAGGTTCAAGAACACACACACACACACACACACACACACACACACACACACACACTAAAAGTTGAAACTGTTTTTTGTAACTAGGCTTCTGCCATTTCTTAGGTGATCCTATTTGAATACAAATGAGGTGATGGAGTTTTCTTTTCTTCTTTTTTCCCCACGCGAGGAAAAGTTTTCAGAGAAATCAGCCACAGCAATATTGGAAGGTGGCTGTGCGAAGTGACTGTGATCTCACAGAAACCAGGAAGGAAAATAACTTCAGAGGTGTGCTGAGAGCAATTGTTTGAGCAGAGAGAGAAGCGTTTTCAATTTTTAAGACAAATTTGTACCAGTCTTGATATATTGATTGTGTTTCTCACTTCAGATACAGTGTTCAGTCATCTCCAGGCAACTTAAATGGTTTGAGTGTCTGGGTTCTGGAACCAGCCTAACCTATGTGCAGAATGGGCTACCTCAGGGGGCTTTTTATATGAGTTACATGAGTTAATATATAAAAGATCTGTTGCCTGACATGGTGTGTACTTGCTTCAGAATCTGATCTACAAGGCTGTTCAGATTGTTAGAAGTAAAGGGGCATGGAATTGCTGCTGGGAAAATACTTTTAATTCTTCATCTGTTTTTTGCTTTCTCCCTCTGTTTCTCAGGGATAAAATACTTACGGGTTCTCCTTTCTGTCCTTTAGGGCCAACAGACCCTGGAAATCCTGGCAGCCCAGAGTCACCCTGTCGAGACAAAACAGAAGAGAGATGCCGCCTGAGTGAAGAGAAATTCTCCCTTCAGCCCCAGAATCCGGCGGCCTGGGTCCAGGGACTCAGAAAAGCTCCATACCTAGGCAGTCTGTTTGCCTAATAAGGAGTCTTTGCCCTCCTCCATGCCGTAGGTCTTCCAGAAGTCCGTAACATTTTATTAGGACATTTAAAATTAATGTGGAACGATGTTAACTACTTTTCAAGGACAGGACACATAGAGGAGAAAAGAATTACAGTTTTGTTCTGCTGTAGCCAAAACATTATTTACTTAATTTTGCCTTTAAATGACACAACAGTCTGCTCCTGTTTTCTTGTCAGGACTCATTTCTTATTTTAGGTGGGGTGGGGGGAGTCGGTGTTCTCAGAGAGAGAAGTGAGTCTGCCAGCTGTCCCCAGCGTTTCCCCGTGCTGAGTAGATGACTGACTGGAGACCAAGAGATCACTCTCGCGGATACGGTGACAGCAGCAGCTTCTTGGGGAAACAGGAAGATTGGGATAAAGGAAGGTTGGATAGGGGAGCAGGGAAGCACATATCTTAGTTAAGGGAGCCATCTTAGGGTTGGCAAGAGACTTGAACCTAGAGTGGCTCCCAGGAGCCCAAGGCGATGTCCCCAGTTAGTCCCTTGGGAAGCTGAGGATAGGGAACCTGAAATGACCCTATCCTATAGCAATACTGACGAATATCTTTCATATCACCATAGAACCTTCATCTGGTGATGGATGGAGATAGAGACAGAGACCCACACTGGAGCACTGGACTGAGCTCCCAAGGTCCCAATGAGGAGCAGATGGAGGGAGAACACGAGCAAGGATGTCAGGACCACGGGGGGTGCACCCACCCACTGAGACAGTGGGGCTGATCTATTGGGAGCTCACCAAGGCCAGCTGGACTGTGACTGAAAAAGCATGGGATAAAACCGGACTCTCTGATCATGGCGAACAATGAGGACTGATGAGAAGCCAAGGTCAATGGCAAGGGGTTTTGATCCTACTTCATGTTCCGGCTTGGTGGGAGCCTAGCCAGTTTGGATGTTCACCTTCCTAGACATGGACGGAGGGGGGAGGACATTGGACTTTCCACAGGGCAGGGAACCCTGACTGCTCTTTGGATTGGAGAGGGAGGGGGAGAGGAGTGGGGGGAGGGAGAGGAGAGTGGGGGGAGGGGGAGAAGAGTGGTCGGAGGGGGAGGGAAATGGGAGGCTGGGAGGAGGCGGAAACTTTTTTTTTCCTATTCTCAATAAAAAAATAAATAAAAAAAAAAAGAAATGTCTAAGACGCCCTGGTCAAAAGTGTTGAAGAGGGATTTGTATGTGGCATGGAAAGAGGATAGTCAGAAGATACAGCTGGAGAGAGTGACCCTTGGGGCGGAGCATGCTCCTAACTGCTGAGCCATCTTTCTAGCCCTGATATACGATGCATCCTAGCAGAAATAGAAAAACAAAACGCGTCTTGTATATCCCCGGCAGAACTTTACCACATTGTAGGTGGTATGTGATTTCTAGAGAGAGTAAATCGTGTTCGATATAGGAAGACAGAGAAGGCAGTGAACACTTACGGCACCAGTGTGTCACTGGTTTGGAAAACTCTAAACTGACCTCCGTGTCACTCAGCAGGTTTGTGCTATAACATCCCCAGAACATAATTGCAAAGGAATCCTGCCCCTGACAATTAGACTCATCTCGTTTACCAGAAGTAAGCAAGTGTTGGGGCTAGGAATCACTTGAAAATGCACATCTGCTCAGAGTAATAAAGGATAGGGTGGAAGAATGAAGGCCGGGAGAAGGGGTTATGATGCTGTGATGTTTGAACCTAGGTAGACAGAGCGCCAGTGAAGGACAGAGGGACCGAACGAAGCCTGCACTTTGTGCTCTCTGGGTGGGGTTGGCCTTGCCTAAACTATAGGAACACATCTTGCACGTGAAATCTTGCAAATGTTTATGTCTAATATTAGACTCATGTGGGTTCTTTTCATGCTTGGAATGCATTGCAGTGGCTTATCACAGTAGGTATGAATGGAAGGCAGCGATGAATTTGCAGAGCCTCGGAAGACCGTCTTCCAGCCCGACAGTTCTGATGCTGGTCATGTGCTGTTGAGCCTCCATCTTGTCTGTGCCACATCCTGCTCCAGGAGAAACCTGATGTTTTCCCAGGAGTCCTTGCTCTACCATGCTGTCCCACAGTCTCAATGCAAGTCATTTGTACTGACCAAATACCTACAAATACCAACCCCCACCACCACACTTTGGGGTGTGCAAAGCCAAAGAAGGCAAGACACTAAGAATTGCAATAGCTCATAGCAAAAAAGAGCTAAATGAGGCTTTATGAGCAGAAGGTACAAACAAAGAAGAAACGGATGTTTATTAAGAACCTAATTTGCTTCCAGGTGAGTTCATCTCATTAGATCTTCATCCTCCCCTCAGTTCTTCCTGTAGATGATTATACCCGCTGTACAGATGGGGAAACCGATGCTTGGGGCAATGAGGTGGCTTCCCAAGGTAACACAGCAGCCAACGCCATAGTCAACGTCTGATCCCAAAGCTGATGCTCCTCCCACCCCTCAGTGGTTCCCAACCCGGAGCGCACGTCACACTCATCTCACACTTGTTTAAGTAACAGAAATACTGGTCTCGGAGTCCCTGTGTGTGAGGCCTCAGAGCAGGCATCTGTTTTCTTCATCCTCTCCCAGCGGGTCTATGTACAATCAGAATTCAGAGCCCCTGGCCACATTGCAAGCATAGGCAGAGACCCACACTAGGGACTTCACATTTTCACTGTGGAAAACACAACTTTAAAAAGCCAAGAGATGGATCCAGAATAGACAGGAAGTGGATGTGCACGTAGAGTTGACTTCCTTCTTCCCGCAGTTGCTACACTAGGGTTTCCCATTTACTCGATGCACGCTCCTTCATGACGGTAATTTAAAAAACCCTTCTGTTGGTGTACTGGTACGAGGCTCAGTGACAAGTTCCCTGCAGACTCTTCTAGATAATTTAGTTGGGTAGGGTGACGGGACAGATATGTCACCAGCTTTTCCTGACTCCCCTTTAGATTCTGAAGCAATTAGAAGAGATTCCAAGTGGTAGGAACGATCCCTGGAGTTCGAGATACACCTGTTTTCCAGAATCAAGTTTCTCATCAGCGAGGTCTTAAGAATTTCTAAGTGACACGTGCTTGCCAATGAGGAGGGCGACGCAGAAGCCAGCTGTTTGGTTTCAAGAAATGAATCATCATTTAAATGCTTTAAGAGTGTCGCACCCCCTTCTCCACACAGCTGTGCCATGTGACAAGCTTTGTGCCCTGTTGACCCTGCAGTCTACGTCTGTCCAATAGTGATGTCTGGCAATGGAATGCCTTCGCGAGGATGGGATGGCGCTACAAGCTGTTGACTCACAGGAAATAGTGTTGTTCGAAACCCAAGACACTCTAGTGACTTGGATTGCTATGGAATCATTTTCAAATCGTCTTCAGAGTGTCCATGTTTTATTTATGTGTTCTGCAGGCTTTTTCCTTTTGAATGGCCAGTCTATAAGGAATGCACTGTTCCTGCTGAGAGGATCTCTTAGCGATACTTCCAGGAGAGAGACTCACCGTCTTTTGAATAGATTGTGCTGATTTAGAAGACACAGAAGTCCTATTTCTCGGGCTCATGTCACAGTATCGTGCCCTCAATCAATAGAACTTTTACAGGGCGAATGAATGAAGGCAGTTCTCACAGGCCATCTGCCCGCAGAATATAATATTTTTTAAACCTTCATATTCCTGTCTGCAGATTTAACGGGCTTTTTTTTTTTTTCCTCTGACCATGCCTCTTTGACTGTGTCCACACTCACAGTCCAAGGTCACCACGGCTTTACAGTCAGATGGGAGTGGAGTGATATTTTCCATCGGAAAGTTAATCTGCTATCTTCACAAATGATAAAACCAGGCTTCCGTGTGCGAGCAATGAAAACGCAATGGAAGCACACTGGTGTTTGAACTTGAAAGCCGTTTCTGAAATAATTGCTTGGCTGGACTACTACTGGGCATGATGAACCCTCACGAAAACAAAACAAAATAATCCCTTGGCAGCCTCTGTTTTAAGAACAGAAAACCAGTGAGTTTGAGCCATAGGCATTTTGCCATTTGGATCTTCCTTCGGATGGTTTTGGCTGCCTGCAAGGATTCCTGACCATTCTTTTTTTATTTTTTATTTTTTTCCTTATCTAATTCTTTTATTTTATTTTTTTAAAAATTTATTTATTTATTAAAGATTTCTGCCTTCTCCTTTCCACCGCCTCCCATTTCTTTCCCCCTCCCCCAATCAAGACCCCCTCCCTCGTCAGCCCAAAGAGCAATCAGGGTTCCCTGCCCTGTGGGAAGACCAAGGACCACCCACCTCCATCCAGGTCTAGTAAGGTGAGCATCCAAACTGCCTAGGCTCCCACAAAGCCAGTACGTGCAGTAGGATCAAAAACCCATTGCCATTGTTCTTGAGTTCTCAGTAGTCCTTATTGTCTGCTATGTTCAGCGAGTCCGGTTTTATCCCCTGTTTTTTTCAGACCCGGGCCAGCTGGCCTTGGTGAGTTCCCTATAGAACATCACCATTGTCTTAAAGGTGTTTTCTCTTGACAGATCTCCTCCATTATAGCCCAGCCCTGCTCAGCAGCGCCCCCAAGGGTCAGCAGTCAGGGAAGGGGCCTGCTCGTAGGGACTACTGCCCCCCTGTAGGTGAAAGAGTTTAATGGTTTTGGAAACAACAAAACAAAAAAAACTGGCATTACCTTTTCTCCTTTTGGGCCACCAGCTTCGTGTTCACCAGTTCCCTGGTAAAAGAAAACAAAAACAAAAACAAAAAAGTCCAGTTGTTTGTTAGGCATTCAGTCTTTAAAAGCAGCTAGCCAAATGTTAGTACTTTATGTTTTATGTATTCTGTGTAACACTTCGGCAGACATTTTTGTCATTCTCATTCTTTATTCCTGTTAATGTAATGAATATTCAATCTTGTTAAAATACCAGCTATATAAATATCTCCAGCGTCGGAGACCCCATTTGTTCTTTCCTGGTGTTCTCTCCAGGGGAAACATCGCAACTCCAAGGGCCTGACTCCCTTCTCCGTATGCATACCAGCCAAACTCAGTTGCTGTCTGACTCTCCTGCTTTTTCCATCGCAAATATTTATTGCCTTAATTTGACTCTGCTCACCCTGGGAGGATTATTGTGCTTGTCAGCACGCAGAAAAGGTTAAATATAAATTGCTAAGAAACACTTAGGCCTCAGAACCCTCTGGGTGTTGAGAGACAGAGACCATTATTAAAGACCGGAAGAGGACAGACAGGCTCTCATTAGTGAATTTCAACAAGTGTGGTCCAGAAATCCTCCACCGAAAATTTAAGCTGTGCGGACCCTGTAACTGGACACTTCAGAACTGCAGCCAGGTGACCCCGGCCTTTGCCTAGAACCAAATATTGACCAGTCAGGACTCCCCTAATCTGCATGGTACAGATGCAAAAGAGAAAATGACAAAACAGAGCATGTGGCTCGAGCTCATGCTAACCTCCCAGGCCCCAACACTGACTGGTTCCGACTGTCCCCGTTCCTGCAGAAGGAATTGCAGGCTGGGAAGCTACATGCATAGTACGACACCTGCTGGGATCAGGACTTCTCTGAAGTGGAGTCCTGCATATCACTGCCTTGGCAGCTACTCGTTCTTCTGTTACAGGGCATACTGACTGCTCTTATTATGGTTTAATGAATAAACCTGTTTTCCCTCTTCTCTGGTTTAGAGTGAATTTGTCTGTTGATCACCAATAAGGCCCTTGTGTGCCGTGCCTCTGCCTTCTCAAGGAATGTTATCATTGCTGTTATATGAAAATGGACAGTTAATGTAAGCTGTAGCTGAAGTTGCCCAAATTCTTTAAACGTTTCTTCTTGCCTTGGTCAGTCCACCTGTTCTATCTTCTGCAGACACAACAGAAAACACTGTTACCACCAGAGACTTGCTTCCCATTCTTGAACAACTTTTCCAAGATCTAAATGGCCTCAATGTTCCCAGCAGCCCGGGTAATTGATGCAGTACTAACTTCAGACACACTTTCTCTGACTCTAGCTTCCCTGCTCTTAGAGCATCTACTGTAGGAAACTTGTGCTCTCGTGGTTTGAAGAATTCCTGTCCTGGGATTACTGTGTTCTCTGAGTGGAACCTGAGCTGCCCCTGTCCCTCTTTGGGTTCCCTCTTCTGATCTTTATCTCTGTCTCGGGTTTCTTTCCCTCTCTCCCCATCTAACTGTAGAAGGTGCTCTTCCTTCAGACTTGGCTCTTGGTTAGGGTATTGTTTAGACAAACAGAAGTTTATAAGCCTATCATGTTTCTTCTTCTCTCTGCTTTAGACTTACGTATCTAATTCTAGAAGCGGTTCATACCCAACAAGTTAAAGTATGGAATGAGAACACATACACACATACATATGAGAAGAAAAGATGGGGTGACAAGAACCTTAATACTGATTAATCCAGAAGTAGAGGAATGACAGTGACTGTCTTCACAATGTATTCCTGAATAGCTTTTTTTTTTAAAAAAAAATTAATTCTATTTTATGATTGAAAAGTAATTAGGAAATGAGATCTGCACTTATCCCTCTTGTCTACAAAAGCTAACCCATTAAATCGTGTAATGTCTTATATCCCCTTTCCCTGTTTTCTGAGACAAGCTCTCATGTGGCATAGACTGGCCTTAAACTTACCATGTAGCCGTGCCTGGCCCCGAACTCCTGCAATGCGACCTGGTGCCTCAAGCTGTTACTGCTGTGACCTCCCTGTCATCTACCTGCCAGCCCCAACAAACCTTCCTTTCCTTAATTTCTTCTCTCAGGCATTTTGTCACAGCAGCAAGACAAGCAACTAATTCAGGAAATTAGGATTTAAAGTTTAGTTTTAAAAAAACTCTTTAGGGACCAGAAGGGTTGACACCAAGGAAGCCTTTGTTTTATATATCCTTGTTGGGTTTAATTCTGTGTTTGGAAAGAAAGACCTTGGAGTCTGTTTTTGGACAAGAGTTTTCCATCCTTTCTAGTCTGTGAACATCAGTGCGAAGTTATACTTTGATACACGGAAGGGAAATAGGTGATTTTGCTATCATTTGTTTTGGATCAAATGCTTGGAGAAGGGAACACTGGGATTGGTTGCTGGGAGGTATTGCGTCAATTTCCAACAGCTCCAACTGAGCCTCACGATGGCACAAGATGATATTACTGGGCATTTTCAATGTCGATCTTTGAAAACATGTCAGATGTATGCCACACTAGTACTCAGAGCTCAGTCTGCATAGAGAGCACTCCACTTCCGTCTACGGAGCTCAGTGCTCAGTCTGCATAGAGAGCACTCCACTTCCGTGTACGGAGCTCAGCACTCAGTCTACATAGAGAGCACTCCACTTCCGTGTACGGAGCTCAGTGCTCAGTCTGCATAGAGAGCACTCCACTTCCGTCTGCGGAGCTCATGACTTTAAAAGGTGATGGAACCTATCTAAAGGTGACTAAAATTTCCAGAGATAAAGACAATGAAGAACGGCGTGCCTGGGTAGTGAGCAGACTTTCCTTCGGAGGACAAGGGAGTTGATATTGCTTGCAACCAACCCAACAGAATAAGAGCAAATGTCTGAAAATGATTTCTGTCATATGAGGGAAATTCACTTTCTTTTCCATCATTGCACACGAGAACACACGTGTAATCCTTCCGACTTCACCCTCCAGTGAATCGCTCTCATTTTCCTCTCTCTTCTCCTTTTTTCCTTCTATTTTTGATTTGTGCTGTGAAGGGAGAGGTTTCTTAGGCCCGTGGTTCTCCTTTGGGTGCGACAGGGAAATGCAAGCGCAGGCTGCTGGGATGAGGATTGAGCCATCAGTCTTTTAGTCTGGAGCGGGGAGGGGACATGTTTGAGGAGTGTGCTTGCTGCCCGTCCTCCCCTGAGCAGCTGCCTCAGCAGAATCTGGGCTGTGCACAAGCCATAGCTCCTGCCAGAGGGAGAGCTGAGGTCCAGGACTCGACGCAGGCGTCACATAAATCAATGCCAATTTAAAAGGGAAGATTGTTTTAACCTTGGAGTGTCACTTTATATGTCTCAATACATGGTCCATTATTTAATCTCAGCTCCTCCTCCACTCTGCTCATTTGTTATAGCCAGACCATCAGGCGTGCAACAAACTGCAAAAGGCAACAACCTTACTATCCCAGACCAGATGGGGGTGTCAGGGGCAGTGCCGAGTGAAAAATGCATCTGGCTCCTCGCAGCACACTTGGCCCTTTGCTTTGTGAAGAAGACACGGTGACAATACAAAAATAGCATTCCGTGTGGGTCCCCGGGGGTGGGGCTCCCTATCGATCCTTGTGGGACCGCAGCGTAGGAGCCCCATCTACTCTCCCAAGGAAACAGAATAAACTGTTAAATAAGCTACCTCCCAACAATCACAATAGACATAAAGACTTCTGACTCAAAAGGGTTCTGTTGCATTATTTTGGGGAAAAAGAAGCTTTGGTTCCTCTCCTTACACTATCATCTTCCAGCCCCAAAGTCACATTCAGAGCACACGTGAACTAACGTGAAGCTCAGCTCTGTAGTAGCGACGATAGTAACTGAGGTTCTTTTAGGAGAGACGACAGCTGAGCTCCAGGTACCGGTGTGCAACTCTCAAAACTCCCCACTCAGCTGCTAAGCTCAGTTCCCCTTAAGGCAAGTATAACTTTAAAGTCTGAAAATTAACTTTTTCAACTTCAGACTCTAAAGTACAAAGGTTCCATATATTTTCATTTAAGGGCAAACCGACTCATCAGCAAGAAAACGTTTATCTAGAACTAGTGTTGGGAGACCTGGAAAGACCGAAGCCTTAAAAGTTTCGCAAGGGTTAGCAAAAATTGAAGCAGCTGAGCAGTGGCTTGGTACATCTGTACTGATGGGGAGAGGGACAGATTATAGCACCTCAACTCTTCTAGATGACTTGTGACATCAACTTATTCTCATTATTTTGAAGCTTTTATTGTAAGTCCTATTTTATAACTGTAGATGTCATTACAAATGCCCTTACGCTGATTCAATTTTGATACCCTTTAGACTTGCATTGTTTTTTTTTAAAACTTGTCAGCTTCTCATGTTTAAAAAAATAGTTGGTATCAATTTAGTTAAGATGTTTAATAGTCAGGAAACACTTTAACCATCCCAACATAGCACTTCCTGGAAAATCTAAGATTCAAGACAGAAGGAAAATCTAAGATTCAAGACAGGATCATGATCTTAAAATTATCAAGAGCAACAGAGTGCTTACGTGTTTGATTTTAAATTTGTCAATTATGGATTTCCCAGGCCTTTACATTAAATTTAATTTGGTGAACAAAAGACTGAGATTTTTAAATTAATCAATATGTCCTTGGAAAGCAGTGAAAAGGTAGTTTTGAGCACCAGGTTTCTTCAAGACTTGATTTAGGAGCTTGAAGGATAGCAAGAACACTAGCTCCTCTGCCAGAAGACCAAAGTTCAATTCCCAGCACCCACACGGTGTGGCTCACCACCATTTGAAACTCTATTTACAAGGTATCTGACACCTTCTGGCCTCTGTGGGCACCAGACATGTGTGTTACACACACACACACACACACACACTCAGAAAAATAAGTAAATCCTGAAAAAAAAAGACTTGATTTGGAATCCAGGTTCTTGGACTGTGTGAACAAAGATGCAGTATTGGTTCCAGAAATGTACAGGGAACAAATGCCAGAAAGCAAAGCAAAACCACAAGGGTCTGTCTCTACCTTTTTCTGTTGGTACAAGGTATGAGCGATGAGCTGGTAGCTACTGAAAGGACCCCAGTTGCTGTCATTTTGGGCAATGAAAGACAAAATGACACTGTATTGGTTTACCACTGTGATTAGACCCCATGTGTAAGGTCTAATCAATGACTTCATTCCTACCTGTGTAGTCATCAGCTCGGGTACACTCAGGAGCTAGTCACTTCAGTATTCTTTGTTCCAGGTGTGGTGAAAGAGGAAGTTACGAGCTACTCCTATCCATCCCTGGGGAGGCTCTCACCCTTGTTCTATGGACGTGTGCCTGGGACCTTTGTCTGGAGAGGTTCAGTTGTGGTATGACCCAGAGCTTCAGATAACAAATAATTTTTTTCTAGCTCTTCATTATCAAACTATGAACTATCACTTCAAACTCTCTAAAACCCAACTCTTGGCTTATAATATGTCCAGGAACCTTTTAAAGATTTAAATTGGGAAACATAGTGTTCAGTATGGGAAAATGTTTTGAGCATATGTCTCAAGGTCTGAGATGTTAGGAATTAAAAATGCTTTTGCCCCCTACAAATATAACCACATAAAGATCTCTGCACCAGCAAGCTGTGGGAATAAAGAAGCTGTACCTTATTGAGGTAGCCGCCAAAAGTCTGCTGTAGTCCTTGCAGCCCAGGAGGTCCCTGCAAGAGAAAACAAAGACAAACACATTTCCTGAAACACTGTGTCTTTAAATAATACACCCAGAGTCTATTTTGTCAAATATTCTATTGAATAAAGAATTTCATGGTTATCAACATAGAATCAGATTTCTAAAGTTATTTTTTTCTACGTTAAGTCTTACATGAACCGGAAGTACAGTCATAAGTGGCAACAGGAAACATTTACATGTTCAAGCATCATCAAACTCTTTACTAAAAGGAATTCCACCCACTATTCCAGGAAGGATGTCATAACTTCAGTTTATTTCTGTGCTTTTCACCGGATAAAATGAGTGTTTTAAAGAAATGCACAGTACCACATATTGTTAATATAAAATGTGGGGAAGTAGATTTTCTGTTGATTTAAGAATTGTTTGAAACAGGATACACACGAATCCTAAAATGGGATACACATTTTAGACCAGGAACAGACATGTAAAACCTTACTTCTAAGGCATTTTAATACTGGCAGTTATCGTTTTGGGACTATTTGCTTGGCATTATATCCAGCTTTGGCTGGATAGAAAATAATAAGTAGGACACCCGTTCATCTCTAGAGCTACCAGGAAAAGAGGTAGAAAGGAGTTCTCTAAGATTTTTAAGGGTTACATTTTTGGGAGAGAACTATAAGAAACACCAAGTGTAGCATTGTTTTATGAAGGAGCTGCGGTCAAGTTAGGCTGAGCTATCTCAAACAGGAGATGCATATACTTCATCTAGACCTCAAAATCTAGGAGAGAAAATATTATAGAGGCAAAATTCCCGGTCTTTTACCTAAGAAGATCAATTAGATGACTGAACAAATTAAAGTGCCCCATTGCGCAAAGAATATTTTTTAAAAAGAGAACTTAAGTTTTGAAATGTGAAGAAAAATATTTGAAGAAACAATAGCTAGTTGTGTTCTGATTCAGGTTAAGATCTTAGGAGTGTGGGCATACTTAATGCAGACTAACGTGCTAGGTGTTTCCTACAAATGTCTTGTGTTTGAAGATCACTTAAATATGAAATCTTGGTGTTGTGTCAGTAAACACAGAGGACATGAGGGTGGGGTGATGATTCCTGGGAGCAAGTTGCTGTAATACTTGAGACAATAATGGGACCTGCAAGCAATTGAGCTGGCTGTGATCAGAAACATGATGCTGTTACCTTGCTTGGAAAAAAAAAATAGAGCCAAAGAATTCTCATGATGTCACGTACTTTTCCATCATACAACCTAGTGTAAAATATTCCAGGTTTGTTAGATGAAATAATGAGGAAGTCAACCATTGAATTGAGGGCAGCTGTAGACTTTCTAGCCCAAAACATACAGTTAATAACTTATTCTTCACAGGAGACAAGCTATTCCATACATGTTAATAACATACATATTCCATATATGTTATTCTTTCTGAAAACATATATGAGGCAAGGAGACATTTTGGACACCATGAGTAACAGCATCGATTATGTGTTAAAGCACTAAGGAGTCTAAGTGTCAAGAATTCAGTCAGTGTGTTCATGATAGGATCCTTTATAGGCAATTACTGTGATAAGATGAATTGATTTAGTTTCATATGCCTTCTTCCTAGAATAATTGATTATGATGGCTTTTAAGTAGAGTAGAACAATTAAAAATATTGCCTCTTGAATAGAGTCTAAGGATCAATCAGATAATAACATTCCAAATTTTTATGGTGCTAATTGTGTGCCATTTATTGTGATTTAACTCATTAAGTTCTTGCAATGCCATTGCAATAAATGTGCCATCACTGTTTATGATCCCAAGATAAAGAAAGAGAAAGTTAGAGTTGTTAATTGGCTCCGACTCAAATCACTGTCATCTGGTAAGGCTAAAATTGAAGTCATCTTTGACCTATTCTTTTTCTGTTGCAGCTGATGGGTATTCATTGTACACAGTGCCATGTTTCATGAGAACAGCTTCTTTCAAGTGTATCATGTATTCAGTCATATTTATCGTCCAGTATCCCAACCTCATTCTCTCTCTCTTCCTGATGGTCTTATCCCTGCACCTTCTGTTTTCATCGTGTGTGTATGGGGGGAGGGCGTGTTTAAGCATCTATATAAAATCTAGGACCCAAAAAATGAAAGAAATCATGTGATATTTGTCTTTCTGATTCTGACTTGTTTAAAATGATAATTCCAATTTGCATTTACTTTCCAGTAAGTAACCTAATTTGATTCTTTATGATTGACTAGAACTTCATTGTGCACACATGTATATACATTTTCTTTCTTTCTTTATCTACTGGTGGATACCAAGGAAGATTTTACTGCTGGCTGATATGAATAGTGCTTTAATATACATGATATGCAAAAGTCTCTCTTATTAACTCAACATCCTTTGGGTATATTTCCATAAGTGGTATATCTGGGTTATAAGGTAGATAATTTCTGTGTTTTGGGGACCTTTTGTACTAATTACCACAGTGGCTGGACTGACTTACATCCCAACTAGTAGTATATGGGGGTTCCTTTCTTCATATCTAAAATTTGTTGTCAATTATTTTCTTAGTTGCAGCCATTCTAATTAGAATAAAGTAGAATCTCAATGTAGTTTTAATTTTCATTTCTTTGATGTCCAAGTATGTTGAACATATATTTATTATCAATTTGTGCTTCATCTTTTGGTAACTGCTCATTTTAATAGCCCTTTTATGGGCTCAGTTGGGTTGTTTGTTTTTTTTTTCTTTTTTTTTTGCTGTTTAGTTTGTTGAGTTCTTTCTCTCCCATTCTGTAGGCTGCTCTTCACTCTATTTGCTGTTTTCTTTGAGGTACAAAAGCTTTTAGATGTTGTGAATTGCTGTTGTTGGCAGTACTTCCTGAGGAGCCTGTGTCTCAATGTGTTAACTGTTTCAGAGATTTGAGTCTTACAATAATGTCTTTGATCCATTTGGAATTAGATATATTTGGATTTTTGTACAGGTTGCAAGTGAGGCAGAGATGTCTCCAGTTTCATTTTTCTATATATGGATATCCAGTGTCTCCAACACCATTTGTTAAAAGAGACCGTCATTCCCCCAATGTATGTTTTTGCCATTTGTGTCAAAAACTAGGTATCTTTATCTATTTCATGACTCTGTATGTCTGGTTATTCTTTTCCTTTGCTAATACCATGTTGATTTTCTTTCTTTTTTAATTTTAAAATGAATTTTATTTTCATACAGTATATTGTGATCACTGTTTCCATCCCTCATCTCCTCCCAGATCCCTCCCACTTCACCACTATTCCAAATCTGTTTTCTATTTTTTATCTTTAGAAAACAAATGGGCACAAAATAAAAACAAAACAGGACAAAATAAAACCAACCAACTAAATAGACAACACCAACAAAACAAAGAAAAAGCAGAGGAAACAAATACATACATAGAAACAGAACCCCCAATCAGAAACCATAAGATACAAGCAAAAGATCAGCAAGGTTAAAAAAAAAAATTCTCAAACAAAGCACTATGAGACAAAACAGTCCACAAAATTATATCTGAATTTGCTCTACGTTGTCCATCTACCACTGGCCATGGGTTCTTTCCTTCAGTTGGTTTATTCCCAGTGAGACTCCTTTGGAGAACTCAGCTGCTTGTCAAGGCTATAAGCTTTCTCCATAAGCTGATGGGAAAGCCCTACTGTTGAAGACAACACCCACACAAATAACTGAATGAGGGGAAGTTGATCAGGTGCCTGCCTTGAGCCTTTGCCTCTCCTGACTCATGTTCTTGGTACTGGAAGGTACTGTGGACACTGTTAGAGTAGAAAGGTAACCACCAAATCTGTAGTGTAATATGAAGTCAGATATTATGATACTTCTAGCTTTGTTCTTTCTTCTTCAGATTACTGTGACTATCTGGAATATTTTTGTGGCTCCATGTGAATTTCAGAATTATTTTTTCTAGTTTGATTTCTCTGTAGAATATCACTGAAATTTTAATAGAATTTCATTCAGTGTGTAGATTATTTTTGATAATACAGTCATTTTCATAATATTATTTCTGTTGATCCATGAGCATGTGAGAGGGTGATGGCTAATTTCTGCTTGTCAGCCTGACACATCTGGGAAGAGAGACACTCAGCTGAAGAACTGACTCTATCAGATTGACCTGTGGGCACATCTATAGGGATTTTCTTAATTGTCAACGGATGTAGGAGCAATTGGCCCACTGTGAACAGTGCCATCCTTAGGCACGTAGACCTGTGCTATGAGAGAAAGTTAGCTGAGCAAGACAAGGGGAAGCAGGAAGCAAATCAGTAAGTAGTTCTTCTCCATTGTCTGTTTCAGTTCTTGCCTCTTGGACCCTGTGTTGGCTTCCTTTGATGATGGACTGTAACCTATAAGAAAAATACATGACTCCACAAGTTGCTTTTGGTTGTGGTGTTTATCACAGCAACAGGTATCAAATCAAAAAAGAAATTTCCATCAGGAAAGTGAGATGTTGGTGTGATCGGCCTAACCATGTTTTTTTTTTTTTTTGTTCTTCTTTTCTTTCTGCCTTTGTATTGTGATGACATTTGAAACATTAGGTTAGAAAAGTCAGTGAGTGGTGACCAGAGCTTACTAGGCTATTATTGTGGCGGTTTGGAAGATAATGTTGAGAGCGCACGAGCAGTAAAGTCTGGCTTTGCAAATTTTAGAAGCAACTTAAATATGTTGAATTAAGAATCTGTGAAAGTTACCCCTGATAATTGGAAAGGGAGGAGGAGGGGGAGGAGAGGGAAGCAGATGAACAGGGACTTGGCTTGATCCTGGGCTTGCTCTCTATCTTGCACAATTGAAAAGTGTACCAGTCCAGGAGGTGCATATCCTTCTCCCGGGTTTGGGTAATGCTGGCAAGACAACTCTGCTGAAGCAGCTCGTGTCTGAAAGCACCAGTCAGGTCACACTTACACAGGATTCGAACCTCAAAAGTGTAGAGTCACAGGTTTTAAACTGAACGGATGGGGCATTCACTGGGGGGCAGGGGAATACCAGACCATGCTGGGGGAGTTCTTT